ACTAAAAAAGCACGCTCCAAGAAGAGCAAGAAGCACCACAAAAGCAAGAAGTCCAAGAAGACTTCTCGCAAGACACGCAAGACTCAACACAGCGATCAATCAGCACGAGCCTCAGCCCGCAGCGAATCACCGGAACATTCGAGTGATTCTATGCGTTTAGACAATGACGTTGTGCTTCGGCTCTGCACCACCGACACTCAGCACGACAACCCTCAGCCCTCGACGACAGCAAGACCCGCCGCGGCCTCAAGAGCTTGCGCCAAGATGCTAGTGAGAGCTGCTTACAGGTGCCCTTGTCACTTCCTTAGGGAGTGCCCTTCTGTTATTTTCCAACAGACTGCATCGATAGTCTACCACCCTCCGATGGACAAGCAGAACGCGGGCGACTGAGTATGAAATACCGAGCTTTCGGTGACATCTGTTGTGCTTTCTACAGGTGATTCGTGCAGCACTGATCCCATACAATTATCACACATACACCCCACTGGCGATACAATACAACATACCACACCTCCACCTTGAAGCACATGGTCGTGCGAGCACAGGAATACTGAATCATGAGCTGCTTCGACATGTGGACGCAACATTCCGTTGCTCAAGCTTAAAACTCTTAGTTGTGCCATGCGCCTCGAAGCCCTCCTCCTGACCTTCTTGGGCCACTATCTCTCCTCCAAGCAGACTCCTCGTCTTCCTGAAGTTTGGTGCCCGCAGGACAATCCAATCAACATCACCGTTGTCCCACCTGTGGCCCCCAGCTCCACTTGCTATTGTAGCTGCGGCTCTAAAGGCAGTTTCCTTGTGGCCATCCTGGTCGCTTTCGCTGCAGGGCTGGCGGTGGGAGTCTTAGTGATTTTCCTGTCTCTCCGGATTCTCAGGAGAGGGCCTTCGAAGGACGCAAGCCCGAGCCCCCGGCGACGGGGTCATGGCGTCCTTGTTGGATTTGGTTCCAGGTCAAACACTCGCTGTGTTCTACAGTGACGATGATGTATGGCATGAGCGATTGCTGCTGTGGCGTCTGCAAGATGGGGTATGGTACATCCTGACCCCTGATCAAGATTTGTATGCTGAGGATTTGAGATGCTTTGGAGCAGATGGGCCCATCCGGGTAAAGGTGAAAGGCAAGGACTTCCGATACTGGAGTCGGGTTGGAGGTCAGGCCTATTGCTTCGCCGAGAAGATAGATGAAAAGTCCTTTCGCAGGTACCTTCGTGATGCTTTTCGTCAAGGGCTCGAGGAGCCTGGTTTCGACGCAGCCTGGAGGCCCACCACAGTGGTGAAGATGGACGGCTCTGAGGTGGATGGCTCGGCGTACTTGGGGGGCCTCTTGGTCAACCGTCGCCTGGCTGGCAAGCAGCCAGCCAATGGAGCTACACGTCCGGCTGCGAATCCTGAAAGAGAGGGGCAAGTAGACCGGTCAGGGACGCGTGGTTTCTGGCGAGTTGCTGATCCACGAGTTGGGTTCACCTTGGGTGCTTTGGTTCGCGATTTTCAGGCTGATGACTTCGAGCTCTCTGAGAAGGATGGCGTGATCAAGAGGGGAGGGTCTTGGCTTCGGGTAGAGAAGGTCGAAGACAAGGACTTTGGGGTTTGGCTTGACGCAAGGCGGGCCGAGCTCGGCCTTCCAGTCGACAAGACTCTTGGCTTTGACTTAGGCATTCCAGAGCAGGCCCCGGCTTCCCCACCCGGTGACTCGGGCGAGACAGCCAAAGGTTCAGAGATTGACGATGCCAGGACTCTGTGGGTTGAGTACGACTCTCAAGGAGAACGCCACCGGGAGTGGCGAAAAGTCGTCCAGGACTCGTCCGTCTCTTCGTGGAGCGATTGGCCACACCAGGGTCCGCAGAGCACACTTCATATGCTTAAGCATTGTCTCCGCCATGGGGGTGAACCGAGATCCTGGATGCAGGTATGGCTTAAGAAGCACAACATCGCTGACAACGACCGGACGGCCCACGAACTCCGCTCCTTGGTGGAGATTGTGTACCTTGGAGGCACTTACGACCAATTAAATATGCCGAGTTTGGCCAGCTTCGAAGCCGCGAGCCGGCGAATCATGACGATTGTGGAGGCTTTCTCGTCGGGTGCCACTTCGGGACCAGAGTGGAGCCACGCTCGACTCTTTACAGGAAGCTTCTCCCCAGACGATCTGGTTTCCCCTGACTTGAGGTCGTGGGCCGCGAAGCGCGGCAAGGAGGAAGTGGAGCTCCTGGCAGCCCGTCAGAAGATGAAGGACGCCAAGAAGGGACTTCACGCCGAAGGTGATGGTTCCGATGCGGCAGGCCGTGATGGGCTACCAGGAGGCGGTGGACGAGGACGAGGCCGGGGTCGTTCCAGCCGTGCGCTGGAGCCCCCGGCTGCACAATGAGCAGAGCGCTGGAGGCCTCTCTTCCGGGAGGGGGGGCCCTCGACAGCACAGATCCCGGTTCAGGCCTGTTCCCCCTCCCTAGGCCGGAGTGGGCAGAAGGCCGTGGCATGATCAGTCGGCGTTGTGCCCAGCGCCAGTGCCGGCGAAAGGTTGAATTCAAATACTTCGAGCAGGGGGTCGATTTCCTTAACTGGATGGCCGGTTATTCTCCCTCCTCGGCTTCGACGTTTTCACCTTCAGGTCTTCAACTTGAGGTCCTGGAGAGAGTGTCGGCGCTGGCCCGATCTTCAGTTCATGCGGAGGCCAGTTTTTTGCCTGCACTTTCAGGGGAGGCAGCCATTAGAGCGCTGCTCCAGGGAAGCTCTGAATATAAAGGGCTCCCGTCAACTTTGGCGAGCTTCTCCCGCGAGCGCCTTTCCCTTCCGAACGACCTCCATGACTGCCCGAAGGTCACGGAGCTCTTGCCGGAGGACGCCCGTCGCTACCTTGAAGCTCCTGAACGCATTTTGCGTGAGGCCCGTGCACGGCATGAAGACTGCAACATTGTCCCTTATTGGGACCCGGTGTTGCGTGGGAGCACGAAAGAGTATCGGAAGTTTATTCAGAGGTTGCACACCATTGGCTACCTCGATTACACCCTGGAGCCCGTCGAGAGAGCTGGGGCCTTTGTCGTGAAGAAGTCGGATGGGGTAAAGCAGCGCCTGATAATTGATGGGCGCAGGGCCAACGCTCGGTTGATTGATCCTCCATCGGTTCGTCTTTGTACGCCCGAGGCTTTCTCTCGCATCGAGTTCGAGCTCGACGACCCTTCCACCGACTTCAGGTTCAAGGCTCTTCATCAACGTGTGGGTCTCCATGTGGGAGTGTCCGATGTGAAGGATTGTTTCCACCGGATGATTCAACCTCGTTGGCTTGGGCGTCTGTTCTGCCTGGACCCCATCCCTGTGAAGTGGGTCATGCGCGAAGGGGGCACTATCGAAGGGGTTCAAGTCAGTCCAGATGATCTGATTTTTCCTTTCCCGCGCCCTTTGTGTATGGGATGTTCGTGGTCTCTTTTCTTCGCTCAGGCAGCTAATGAATCGCTCATGTCCAGCGTCAGCAGTCTGTCCAACTCAAGGCTCGTCAACGACCGGAGCGATCCGCTGGTGGTTGGGGACGCCGAGGCCGGCAGACAGAAGGAGGATTACCATTACGTCTATGTTGACAACCTCGGCATAATTTCTACGAGCCGGAAACACGTGTCAGACTCGCTCACAGAGGTTGAACATCTTTTCAACGGTCGCAACTTGAGTCTCCACCCGGGCGAGGTCCTCTCTGATCGAGCCGATGTTCTTGGTTGCCGCCTGGACCTCATGGAACATAGGACGTCCGTGAAACCAGATCGTTCTCTGCGAATCCGGAAAGCCGTGGAAGGGGTCCTCTCCCGAGGCCACATCACGGGTCGCTTCCTCGAGGTGCTCGTGGGGCATCTGACTTATGTCTTCTTGGTGAACCGACCGCTGTTATCCATCTTTCATCATTGCTATCGTTTTATCAGGCGGCACTACGATCAGAAGGCCAAGCTTTGGGACTCAGTCAAGGAGGAGCTCCAGGCGGCTCGGGGAAGTCTCATTTTCTGTCGGAGCGATTGGGATAAGCAGTGGAACGATTTGGTCTCGGCCAGCGATGCAAGCTTGCACGGCTATGGGATCTGCACTCGCAAAGTCCCCAAGGCTGCGGTGGCCTCTATCGGTCGCCTCTCCGAGCGGGAAAGGTTCAAGCGCTGTGCCGGTCACTCAGCCCGGGAGTCGGCTTTGGAGCTTTTGCATTCGGAAGCTTCTTGCCCTTCAGATTTACCCAAGGGCGAATTGTCGGAACTCGGATGGGAGCCCTCACGTACCTTTACAGAGGTTCCCGCGTGGCTGCTGGACAAAGACCGGTGGAACGTGGTGAGATCAGGACGCTGGAAGTTCTCAGAGGGCATCTATGAGCTTGAGTCACGTGCACTAGTCATGTCTTTGAGCCGCATCGCTTGTACCCGACGCGGCCATGATATTCGCCAACTGCTTTTAGTGGATATTATGGCGGTGGCACTTTCCTTTGAAAGACATCGAAGTCGCAATTTTTCAGTGCTCAAGGCCATCAGAAAGTTCGGAAGTTTCTGTTTGGCGCGAAACATCGCGACATGTACAAGGTGGGTCCCGTCTGAGGCGAATGCCGCCGACGGCCCGTCTCGCTGTCCCCGAGGGCTGGCGAAAGCGGCAGCTAAGCCCGAGGCCAACTGGGAGGCAGGCGACGCCGAAGGCCACCCAGCGAGTGCTGGACAGAGCCGAACCAAAGCCTTCCTCGAAGAAGCCGAAGGTCCTCGAGGCTACATCGTGGACGACAGTGCTGAAGACTACTCCTTCCGGTGCGGCCTCGCTGCCACAGTCCGAAGCCCAACTCCGACAAGTCGGCTCACCGTGGAGACAAGCTACTGGCGGGCTTCCTTCACTCGAAGCCGGAGTTCGGAAAGTACGGCAGCCGGAAGCTGCCCAGGACTTGGCGTGCCTTGAAAGGCTGGCGCCGCCTTTGCCCTGGCAGAAGCAGGAAGCCCTTCCCACTGGCCGTGTGGGCCGCTGTGGCGGTGGAGCTGCGCAGACGAGGCCATGTGAGAATGGCGGTGCCGTCAGAGCTGCTGAGGTGCACGGTGTACTCCTTGGTGCCTCCCGTCCAGAACACCTTCAACGAGTGGAACCTTCTGCTCTCCCCCGAACAGATGGGCCATCCATCGAAGACAGGCGAGTACGACACCTCGCTTGCCCTCGACTCGTACTACCTCAAACCGTGGGGCTCAGTTGTTTTCCAGGCGCTAAAGAAGCAGCACGCCTCAACGCCACTCTGGGATTTCAACTACGGCGAGTTCGTCAGGGAGTTCAAACTGGTCGCCGAGGCCCTTCACGTCCAGTTGTCGCCGTACCAGATGCGGCACTCCGGACCCAGCATCGACAGAGCACAGCACCTGCGCTCTTTGCTGGAAGTTCAGCGTCGCGGAACCTGGAAAAGCGCAAAGTCAGTGCTCCGGTACGAGAAGTCAGCCCGGCTTGCTGCTTCGTTCCTGGAGCTGCCGCAGCGCCTGCGCGCCCACTGCCAGCTATGCGAAGAACGTCTAGGGGATGCTATCCTTGGCAGGTGGACTCCCCCCAGTCCACCATGATCGGCAAGCACCGTGACCGGTACTGTCTAGACCTTTTCAGTGGCAGAGGGGGCGTCTCTCGAGCCCTGCGCAGATTAGGTTTTCGCTGCTTCGAATATGATATCTGCCACGGAGCCGATCATGACTTGACTTCCAAGAGCGTGCTCTCGAACATTCGCACAGCTATTTTCAGAGGTGAGGTGCTGAGCGTCATGTTCGGCACGCCGTACAGTTCGTTTTCGGTGGCCCGAGATCGCACGTCAATCATACGCAACCATCTCCACCCATGGGGTATACCTGAGAGTTCTCTTTCCGCAGAAGACAAAGAAAAAGTTCGCTTCGGCAACTTGTGCGCTAAGTCCACTTTGCGAATCATCAAGTGGCTGCAGCACTTCAGTATTCCGTGGTGTGTGGAGAATCCGCATAATAGCAAGCTTTGGCAACTTCCTCCCTTTCAGGACCTTCTGCTGCAGCCCACCGTCAAGGCCGTTGTGATTGATTTTTGTCAGTATGGCACACCCTGGCGCAAGAGAACACGCTTTGTCTTCGGCAATCTTGATGCCACAGACCTTAGGCGATTCGAGCCGCGCTTCTGCCATACTCAAGGGTTCTGCTCTCGAACAGGATCTCGGCATCGACGACTTCCAGGCACAGGCCCTGGCCGCGTACCTGGGGCCTTGGTTACACGGCAGTACCCTTCGCGGTTATGTGCGGATCTGGCTATGGTTTTAAGTAGTCCCTACCTCCTGACTGACCCTTCATCAAAGTGGTTCACATCCTCGTGACTTGGGATGATTTGGGAGATTGAGGGTCACTTCTACAAGTGTGAGAGGCTTCGCTGCTCTTCGACACTTAAGTGTGAGTGGCTACGCCGCTTCGCTCCTCTCGAGAGCTCGCTCGCACTTTCGGCCTCACGAATACCGTGAGGACTGAGCCAAAGACCTGAGAGTACTGCCGCTACAAAAGAAGGCGAATGGGAGAAGTATGGTCGTGCGAGCACAGGAATACTGAATCATGAGCTGCTTCGACATGTGGACGCAACATTCCGTTGCTCAAGCTCACAAGTGTGAGAGGCTTCGCTGCTCTTCGACACTTAAGTAGGAGTGGCTACGCCGCTTCGCTCCTCTCGAGAGCTCGCTCGCACTTTCGGCCTCACGAATACCGTGAGGACTGAGCCAAAGACCTGAGAGTACTGCCGCTACAAAAGAAGGCGAATGGGAGAAGTAAGAACAAACATTCATACAGCACTTCCAGCCCAAGCTCAATTACCCCCACATTGCACCGCACATGAAGCGCGCTTTCCGCGGCATCACCCAGCCGGCACGCAACAAGATCTCACAACGCTCCGGCATTACCTCCATATGGAAAATAAAAACACTTCGGCGCCGGCACCTTCCACCAGCCATGCGACCACTCCACAAGTCACGCAACTTCCAGCGCCAACCTCAGGTTTGGCAAACCATCTGCAGCCTCGCGTCTAACACAAGAAGACGCTTTGATAGCACGAAAGAACTGATGAGGCGGCGAACCCCTTTCGCCCAGCTCTACGCATACCACCGCATATCCCGCAAACTTACCCATCACGCATCAACGACCAGCTACCAAAGCCATCAACACAGCATTACGCAAGAGATCTTTGCCGATTCCCTAGACACGCAGACCAGCATCCCTACCCTACCTCGCACACCCCACGCAAACAGCCACTACCCGCTTCTTCCTTCGACAACGCATCACACTAAAGCACATTCTTTCCACCTGTCAACCGACTGAGGCAGGACCTCCTCGCAGCCACACAACGCTGGCACAAACAACATCACCTCTCGGTTCCTCCACCGGAAGACCCGGCCACAACAACATCTGTCGACACACAGATGAACCTCCACCAACAACACCTCTCCAATCATCTTAACCTCCTCATTGTCTCTTCTATGAGGATAGGGAGGGTTCTCAGAAGGGTACTTCTCAGTGTGTTTAACCCTATTCAACAATATTCAGAAATGTTTGCATTTCTGCTTAAATATTCGGAAATATTCAGTTTTCTTCGGTAAACTTCCATAATATTCTTCATTATTCCAGGTTCTTCACCATTATTCTTAGATCTTCGAAATTATTCGAAACTATTCGAAATTATTCGAAATTATTCGAAATTATTCCAAAATATTCCAAATTATTCGTTGTATCTGCGGAGAACTTGAAACACTTTTCTAGACCATTCTTCTCAGATCTTCGTAAATCTTCGAAATTCTTCGAAATTATTCCAAATTATTCGTTGTATCTGCGGAGAACTTCAAACACTTTTCTAGACCATTCTTGTTCTTAGCATGGGCTTGACCTTGCTTGCTTTGTCGTTGTCCTTAGTCCGTCCTTACCCACGCAGAACATGCGAGACACCGTTGGCCGGGTGTCGGGACTGAAGTGCCATACGTTCCTGCTTTTGGCCAACCCACTTCGGTGGATGACAGCAGAGCACATGGGCTAATGCGTCTGCTGGGCAGGATCCTGTGCTCACCCGTTCGGCAACCCTCTCCCCCTGACCGGCGGTCACAATAGGGGTGCTTGCTTCCCGAGCGGGGACAGCCCAGTGCCTTGGCGCCCACTTGGGGTGGAACTGGGCGAGGGTTGCACAGTGCCTTCAGATTGCAGGGGAGGCCGCAAGAGAGACAAAGGAAAGAGAGAAAGAGAGAGAGAGAGGGTCCCTTTAAGGAGCCCTACTAACTACTTACTGTTCCCCCAGCTGAAACCGCCAGCTGTGCTCAGTCAGGTCAGGCTCAGACGAGTTTTTAGGCGGCCGGAACTGCCTCCTTGAAAACTCTGGTGTTCAATGGCATTTTCTCACTCTTGATTGATGGCTGCAATGCAGGGGCCTTATTGACTAGACTAGGGCTTGGGGCTCCTATACAATATGCGTGGAACTTTGTCTGAAATCAGCAGTCTGAAATCAGCCGTCTGAAATCAGCTTCGTCTGAAATCAGCAGTCTGAAATCAGCCGTCTGAAATCAGCTTCGTCTGAAATCAGCAGTCTGAAATCAGCCGTCTGAAATCAGCTTCGTCTGAAATCAGCAGTCTGAAATCAGCCGTCTGAAATCAGCTTCGTCTGAAATCAGCAGTCTGAAATCAGCAATCTGAAATCTGAAATCAGCATAGCCATGATGCCTGGCACTCCTGAGTGGCCAGCCTGTGCGTTCTCGTCCTGGTACAAGGAAAACAAGAGCTGTGCCCGGATCCTCAGAGGGGTTTAAAGGGGTTTCGGTCTGTGTTCAGTCAGGCTCGATGGCTGCAATGTAGGGGCCTTATTGACTAGACTAGGGCTTGGGGCTCCTATACAACATGCTTGGAACAAGGAACCCGAAGGAATAGTATTGGTAGTTATCTAGGCTTCTATAGTAACCTCAAACCCTCGCAGCCATGGGCAAGCGCAAGCACGCTCGGGACAAGCGGCTGCCGGAGTACTTGAGATGCAATTGAATCATTGTCATTTGTGTTTGATTTTGAGAGTCAGGGAGGACGGCTCACGCAGAAATACCGATGAATGAAATCATCATCTGAGGCACCTGAGGCCCAGCGAGTTCGGGCTACGCTATTATGATATGGCGCCGATGGGAGGGCAAGCGTCGTCGTCGATGTCGGGGATGGGCCCCCAGATGATGGCGGGGCAGGCTGCCATGCAGCCGATTATGTTTCGCCAGGCTGGCGTCGTGCAACCCATGGGGTCCCAGATGCTAGGCCAGGCCGCCATGCAACCGGGGATGGGATCCCACATGCTGCCGGGTATGAGTTCGCAGATGGGGCAGCAGCAGCAGCAGCTCGTCCCAGTCCAGCAGGGGGGCAACGGACAGCAAGGGGAGATGGAAAGCAGCAGCAGTGAGTCGGTGGATCCATTTGATGATCTGCTGTCCACTGATAAGCCGCTCGCTTTAACTTAACTGTTTTGACTGAGTTGTGTTTCGTTCATGAGCATGCCAGGGGAAACCTTACTTTTAGCGGATGTCACATGCTCTTGTTTTTGGGTCCTGCTTTCAGGAGTGAGTCATCGGCACCAAGAAAGAAGAGGAAGTCAAGAGGCAGATCGCAGGAGAAGAAATCCAAAAAGGATAAGAAGAAGAAGGAGCAGACTCAGAAGGACAAAAGCAAAGGCAAAAAAAAGAGGAAAGGAAATCAGAAGCCTTCGTCCAAGAAAGGCTGTGCTTGAGTGCTGGCATCATGTGAATTTTCTGCTCTGGACTGCCTAGTGAGCTACATTCCCCTGGTCCTTGATTCTGTGATGCAGCCCACCAGATGGCAAGAAGAAGAAAGTATCCTCATCCGGTTCCTCGAGACCGAGAAGTCCCTCGAGTGATTCCGATGATGCCTGTAGCCTCTTGTCTGTCATGCTGTCATAGGTCATGGCTGTTTTGGTTCAGGCATGAGCATTTTGTGTTAAACTTGTGAAGATGTGATTGACTCTGAGGTGAGGAGCTGGACAAGAGGCCGGTGCCGAAGACTTGCCTGGCCCTGTGGAAGAAATCTTCGAAGACAAACACGTACCCAAGGCCAGATGAGGGAGATATTGAAATCAGGAGTGATTTGCAAGAGTGCAAAATCTGGCCAGGCGAGATGCCCTACGGCTCCTGACCCATCTTGATGAGGAGCGCTATGCCCCAGGCTTGGGCGCATTATTCGCAGTGTTGCTCTCTTGTTTTGTGCACGTGCTATGTTGTGTAATCTCCATTTTGAAACATGTTCCAAGTCAACCATGCAAGTGGCAAATATACGCTACAGCCGCTAAAGAGATCCATTCCGGGTTACTGCTGCTGGCAGGTATCAGGCACCAACTCAGCGATGTACATCTGGGCATGTGTTTTTGGTTGAGCTGTGGTTTACCACCAAGCATGCGAGTACGTGACCTCCGGGCTCGCATCAGAGGTGAGCTGAGCCTCGGTCCATTCTCGGTGTGTTCACTGTCCATGTTCAGTGGAATCATGTTCTGCCTGGTTCTGGGCTACCTGTGCAAACGATATGTGTTTGACTGAGGAAGGCCAAAGTCAAGGATGCCCGGGAGCGGTATTTGGCCAGGGTCGGCCTGGACCGCATGCAAGAAGTGAAGGCAGACTTCTCGAACTTGGCCACTTGTCGCTGAACATTGTCGAATTAAAGTAGCTTTGTCCTATTCGTCCTATTCCTCCTTACTCTGCTGCTGTGTTGAATCAGGAAGAAATTGCCGAGAAATATGGCTGGCAAGATGCCTACCTTGGCAAGACCTTGAGCCAGGCAGGTTTTTTTATGTTCTTCGCGCGACAGCCATTGTACATGTCAGTTTCAAGTATCGTATACCAGGAGGGCGGAGGCTTTAAGCCTGACATGAGACAGAATTACTGGGTGGAAACCGACAAGTCGGGGAATGGCTGGTTGAGATATAAAGAAGGACTGAAGTTGATTTGACCGGTTTCGCCTTGCATACGTCCTTGTTGCTGACCTCCTTCTTTTTGCTTGGGTGGTCGTTGTCAGGAGGAGATCCAAAGCTTGTCATTCCTGCTGGAGTTCCTGCCTGCAGGATTTATCGACAGGGCAAGCCTCTCTGCAGCAGTGTGTTCTTTGACAACTTCATTTTGTTGTTTCAGTTTGCTTCTGAGGTTTATGCTTCAAGGGCCGGGCCCGAAGTTCCAGCTGCTCGATTGCCAGGCCATCTTCGAGAAGGAGGACTCGCATCAAGAATGGATTCAAGCTCTGGCATCTTGATTATTTAGTTTCTTTTG